ATTACTTGCAATGTTAAATTATCGAGCACTATATAACGAATGCCAGGCCTGTGCATAAATTTTATTCCTTTTTTACCATTGAGTCACTACATTCCGCTTTCAGTTAGGGCCTTCATTTCATAGACTATCAAGTCCATTATACGCACAGGATAGAATGGCTGCAAATTTCGTGCCTGTTTGCAGGCCAAATTAAGTGTCATAATGTTTCATTAGTAATAGCATTTATAAAAACAACTGCTCTCTTCATCATTTCCTATCCTTCCTTCTGTAGCGTATTGAATGCCCGCTATGTGTACATGTCGTTGTACCTCTGAAAATAAGATGGTGGTAGTAGTTGTAAAATCATTCGAATAAGTTAGATGATTGAAAATAAGGCATTTTTCAAATTACAACTTTTTCATTGATTAAAGTTCGGAGTTTTGGACTTTGATATCGATTTTGGTAAGTCGTTCACAGTAAATCTTCACACCCATTGTTTGTCCACGTGGAAGCAGCCCCTAAGACCCTATTCCAGACACAAACGGCGATTCTCCTCCCTTCCTTGCCTTCACCTCCTCAACCTCGTCATATTGTTATTCACAAGCCATTTTTCCTCTACACGTTTGACTTTGTCCATGAAATGATCGTTTTCTTGATAATCGTGATGTGAACATTTGTTGTGGATGCATGACTCAGTTTGTTAATTTGAGTAGTAACATATTTGGCTAACTTTAACAGCCAGATATATTGCTTTGCGCAGCATGTGTGGTTTGCCAAGAGTGCGAGTTCACCCAGTCTCAAATGATCTGATTTGTTTTACACCATGGAAAAGATCTCGGATAGCAGATGTTGCCTGTGATAGTTGTGTCATTACGGCATTTTACGCAACTGTCAACAACGATGTCGTCTGCGGGCATGGTTTCATGTCGATCACGTGGGTCAACAAACAGTCGAAAGTTTGTTACCTTTCACGGGACAGTGCAGTCAATGTGTGTAGGTCTTTACCTTGAGACGCGTGGTTCAAATGAGATGAATGCGTGCATGAATAATGTGTACGATTCGCACCTGCTGCCACATGATTCGTGCGATTGGATTTGGGACAGCCACAGGTCTCGCTGTAGCGATGCCGAGTAGATGCCCCACGCAAGTGCAACTGATTCGTTCTCGACAACTTCTAATACATGGTTACGGATACTTCAGTGGCATTGACTAAATGCAGTGAGTCCCACGTAGTTACAATGAAATGCAAAATTGTACATTTAGTTTTGGTTGCATTTCATTGCCCTACCTCTCTAAGTCAAAGAATCGCAGCAGCGGAACTGTATTTAGCCAACAACACGGTGTATTTTTTGCGTTCAAACTCTTCTACTGCAGTATTTAAAACAAATTTGTCAGTGACTAGGGCTTCAAAAATTGTGACCAAAATAATCACGACGTGTCATGGTCATAAGTCGTGCTAGTGACTCGCGGGATTAGCAGAATTCGACCGATAACCTGGTCTTATATGTCGTCGGCTTAATCAAGCTGTGGGTGATAGCTAAACCTCTCAGAATCGACGCTAACCAAGTCGATTACGCAGAAGCAAGCACGAGGTCGAGAGGATAAACCAACTGAGACGGCCTGATAATACACAGTCGCGTATGTCTCATGCTAAGTGGACCAAATTGGAAATGCCATTGTTTGATAATAAACTTATTGGCATATTGCATGCGGATCGGGTGGCTCATCAACAGACGTTGAAAACCTAGTGCATCTGACTTTCATTTTTGCCGGCACTAGCTGTTTCAACATCACTCGTTTTTCATCCACCAGTAACCACGACTACAGCCCCTTCCTTCATTGTTCTATTACCTTTTCAGTGGTTCACTCGATGGCTATCCATTATTATTGACTAAGTTAGATTTATCGACCGATTTAGCATCTGGCTACTATCCGGCCAACTTTGCTTGTCTACTTTACGACAAAGCACTCAATCACACGCTCAATTGAGGAGGGTGATCTACTTCATTTGTTCCATCGCCAGTGAAGGCAAGTGGCAGCATAACTCCGCTGTGCTCCTTATCCCCTCTAATCCAACAAAATCATGCCCTATATTTCAACGAACATGCAAACCTAGGTCTTACTTTTATCACAAAGCTCGAGACTGGTGTGAATAACGCGCCCGATTAACCGAGACGCAAACGCCAACTAAGGTGCCAACTACCGACTGGTTGTAGTGACAACTGATATTTTCGCCACAATTGAGAGTCGTTGGAACCTATGGGGCTCAGGGGTGAGTGTACCTTCACTGCTTGCATCATTAACCATGCAGCTATTTTGCTAAATAGTGTACAACTGCCATGGGCTGGTAAAGGACAACCGGACCACGGCTTGTGTGACGACGCGGCCGTTCGTAGTGATTAGTCGACATTTAATTAGTATTTCCGCATCCACCGCCTCCGCCACCATCACGTAAACTCACGGCCTTCATCGATTAGGCATGTGGTGATATTTGTGGCGCAGATGAAAATCCTTCAGGCCTACCCACAGAAATACCTTGGTGCTGAATCTATGGTGGCGTAAAATCCGTGCATTATCAACTTTTTGCTCCGGGTCACCATCATTCACAAGGCAACTCACATCCCCGTGATAGAAAGCTAAGTTCTTGGTCTCCTTGTGAAATTTCATTGAGCGACTAGTAGCATAAGCTGGCAACAGTAGCATCAAGACAAAGTAGCGGAGACTATCTGAGCACTGCCGCTCCTACCGCGACTGCTTCCGGAGTCAATAACTTGGAATAGGATATTCAACTAAGACCTGCCCAATTGGTATCCAATAACACCAACATGACTCAACAAGTATATTCCTTTTTCTGTAACCACACTGATGCACAAATGGAACACAAACTAATCACTGCGGTACTTGATAGCACAACCTCGAGGCTGTATTCATAACAGACTATTGCTATGGTGACAACTGCCATACAATTTTGTCAACAGAAGCATTTGCAGACACCCGCACAAGGGAGTTTAACTTGGTTGGTAACATGAAGCGGCTGGGAACACGTGTGTTTACGGCTTCAAGTATTGGGGTTACAGATACATAGCAAAACAATGTGTCCACGTAGAGACTTGAGGGAAGGGTTTACAAGTATGATGGAGCAATAAAAGAATGGCCTAGACACAGAGATGAAGTGGCTTAACAGTAAGAATGTCAGGGCTTTTTCTTCCTGATCAACACTTAATGAAGTGGGAATATGCCAACAACTGGTGAGCAATTAAGGCTGAAGGAGACATAATAGCTTGGGAAGGTAAACCAAACGATGACGGGCGCGCACATCATTTAAAATCATTGTTCGCCGTCGTTTTCAGGCTTCGTTGGGTCGCCGTGTTTTCTCGTTTTTTCTGCTTCACATCAGTCATGCCTGACGCCGCGTGATAGCAATTCAGCCCATTTAGTGAACCTTCACGAGGCGCCGGGCAGCGCGTACTCTGATGAGCGTCTGTTAAAACTGTGACAGTGGAGCCCCACCAGAGCCAGAGGCAGAATTGGTGGTAGTGCCAGTGGCAGCCATAACTTCAGTGAAACCGAGGCCATCTATTGTTAGCGAAAAAGGGTTATCACCTGACGTCCGATTAGGCACCGCTCCAGTAGTCGGACCGTGGAATGTGGCGTCCTGAGAGAGCAAAAGATTGTCCACCTGACTAGCTCCAGGTCCAAAATCTAACGCCGCACTCTCCTAAAACGCATACATGGAATTTGTTTGAGCTAATTAAACAAGAACCGAAGCGTTACGAGCATGGAATGAATCAAGGCAGACATTAAGGCAACAAAGCGCGATGAATCAAAAATCAACAGCCCCCACCCTATGCAAATAACTACCAGTGTCATTTATTGGAAAAGTCACGGCTTTACTAGCTTTGATGTTGATTCCAAAGCGCATTGTCGAACAAGCAAATCTAAAATCCCTCAAGGAATTGTGATATGAGCATTGATTAGCAGATTTGACAGTGATTAGTGTAAGTTGCACCATGGCTAGAAAATTAGGTAGTAGAATAAAAGTTGGAAAGGAAATAAACAATTTCAGTAATTACAGTAAGTCATGCCAACGCCTTTTCTTTGAATACTAATTTTGAAAACTAACCTGTGAAAGGCCTGACAGCCCCATGTGACCTGCTCCTTGTTGGCTTGCCCCGTCTACCATTTTGCCCATGAATACATCCGCAGCATAGCGGCCTGTGGGCCAGTTCCCACCGCCCTGCTGGGATAGCATCCCAATAGGGCCATTTCCCGAATTTGTGCCAGCTACCTGGGTGAGCAACACCGATTGAGAGTTCGCGGCATTCTGCTGGTTAGCGGTAGGCAAAAAGGTGGTTGTCAGACGTTGGTGGCGGGAACCGCTGTTTCCGCCCATGTATCGAGGGGCCGAAGCACCTGAAAATGCACCTCCGGGAGTGCGAGCATTGCCACCTCCAAATCCGACTTCCTGTTGAGGATTTTTCATGCCTGTATAGAAGTTGGGGTCCATCGCCTGAGGCTGACCTGAGCGTCCAGCAGCAGCTGGATTAAAAAGCATACTCAATGGCATTGGTAAATCTGAAATGGAGGCAATGTGATTAATGTCAGACTGTGCTCATACATAATTTATGGGCTAAAAACCCCACATACAGTATTTAGATATGAAACTTTCCGCGACGCACATAAAATTATTTATGCTACCATCGTAGTATTTTGTACTAAAAAGTAGTGCTTTTGTAGAAAACCAAGCCCTTGTGTGAACAACACTTATACAAGTGAGTAGAATTGCCAGTGTTTTAAAATGACTTATAGATGACAATAATTGTGATCTTAGGAATAACTCTTCAGGCAGTATAAATGGAGCTCACAACATAAACAAGCATTGACAGGGTGCAGACCGTGGAGGACAGCATTTAGCTTCTTTAAATGTAAAAAGTGTAAAGATGTGCCCTGCTAATATAAAAGCTCGTGTGGAATCTTGTTTGGTGGTGCCTAGATAAACCGATGGCTAACAAGTCCCGCATTTACTTACTCGAATTTGCGCTTGCCGCGGCAAACTGTTGATTTGCGCTAATGTAGCCTATTTGGTCGAACAGGTATGGATTCCCAGAAGCAAATCCAGATTGCTGGTGTGGTTGACTTGACTGCTGCCCATTTCTAGGAAATGTTACTCCCTGGTGAGCTGCTGCCGCCGCCGCAACGGCATAAGCAGCAGCGTGGCTAGCTGACGAGTTAGCAGATCCTGGACTCGCGGCTCCAGGGTTGCCTGCCCCTCCGGTTCCGAAGTAAGAAGCAGCGGCTGCAGCCATAGCCTGCATGAAGGCCATGCTTTGATTTGGGAAGCCTGCTGAGGCTGTGCCGTGAGGCTGGGCGAAGGCGCCCTGGGGTGCAGATGGAAGCTTTGAGCGTGCAGCTGCAGCCGCTTGAGCCATCGCAGCTGCCAGCTGATTAAAGTGATGAGTTCCTGGCTTATAACTGTACGGGACTTTCGGCTTGGGAAAGTGAAGCACATATTCTGTCAAGTTGTTCAGTGGTCCCTCAACAAGTAAGTGTTGGTCCTTATAGAAATGCAGCAAGTGGTTCCATAACGGTTGCTGTGAAATAAGTGGTATATAATCTGTTAATGTTCACAGAATTAGCAAAAACTTAGCAAAACGTCAAACATCCTTTGCTTCAACTTTTGCGCAGACAAATGGCGGTCTACCTCACATTTGAAAGCAGGTCAGTAAATAAGGGAGCCTACAATTATATTCTGCTGAAACTTTTGCAAAATGAGAATATGTTCGAGTATAAATGGTTGATACGTGACGACAGAACCTGGTCACTACTATAATTAAATCAAAAAAAATTTGGATTGAGGCCGGAAGACTTGGTCATATTTCTCCAACTTCAAAAGCGAAATAAAGCGCATTTTTTAATTAAAACACAATTTTTAAATGACTAAGAATTCATTGCGATACAATGACTTAATAGGTTGCTCATTGCATTACATATCCTTAAACAAATTCCACTGGAGAAAATTAAGATGAACGCCTTCCAAAAAACAAGGCTGCTTGTTCCGTGGTTTAGCAACACCAGCGTACAAAGGAGATCCAGTGAGGTTACATCAAAACAATGAAGCAGGATTATTTACCTTATTGCCTCTATCTGGAAGATATTGGCAATAAAAACAATTGAAGGTTACACAAAATTTATGTTAATTTCTCTGAAACAGTGGCCAAAAGTGCCTAGTCACGTCACATTTGCCACTCAATGTGGTTGTGCAAGCGCATATACCAAAAGATAAGAACGTACCTTACATAGGGCCTTTGGATTGCCAACAACAATCATACCGAATTTGGCACGGGTAAGGGCCACGTTGAGACGCCGTGGGTCGTTTAGAAAACCAATTCCTTGATGCTCATTTGCGCGTACACAAGACAGGATGACAAAATCTTTTTCGCGACCCTGAAAAGCGTCAACGCTGGCAACTTCAACCTCTTGGTAAAGTTTCGAATTCAGTGAACCTGATTGATGGAAATAATGCACGAGGTAGGCGCGCTGACCTTCATATGGTGTAATCACACCAATTGTTGTGGGGTCAACTCCGACCTTGAGCATCCTGAAACAAGTTAAAATGGATAAATAAAGGGACATACAACTAAATAGCGTAAACTTTGTGAAAAAGGGTAGAAAAACAAAGATGACCTTAACAGCCAACGGGCTAGCAAAATAAGGGAGAGGTACAAGCCTGATGATAAATAAATTGGTGAACTAAAACAGAAAAAGCTTGAGACTCAGTACCATCGACGTAACCAAAATTTACGGTAACTAATTTTGCCTGAATGAACACAAGGTCCTGCCAAATCTCGACATGAGCCGTGAGATGACAAATAACCAAGTACTTACTTCGTGACAATTTTCTCTACGGTTGCAGCTTCAGTTCGATTAAGGTACGAAACACCGTTCCCAGAGATCTCCTCTTGACCAGAAGTGCAGTAGAAGAACATCGGTCGATCAGGATTAGGCCAAGGAAAATCGATTTCCTTACATCGATCCTCAGTGGTGACACCGTTTTGCAAACTGCCTTCATAAAAAACATTGCTTGGAAAGGCGGAGAGGGCTGGATGCATCCGATACTGTACCTACGAATGAAATAGACCGTTCGGATAAGGTTTTGTGTGCACGTAGAAAAGGTGACTGTTGTTCCAGTTCAACTTAGTAGTAAGGTAAATAAGATTCATAACAGAAATATAAGTAATTTGCTAGGCACAGCAGAACAGCCCAAATTCTGGTATTCCAGATTAGTGAGAGATGCAGAGATTGCGAAACAATGCTATAAAACTTGCTATACAAAGTGCTAATTTATTAAGTAAGAACAAACGAACCTGAAGGCGAATTGGACGGATCCCCAAGAGTACGAAGCGTTCAAACAAGCTTTGTGTGAGACCAGCTTTAGCCGCTTTCTTACATGTAATCACGGGTCCCAGCTGACAGTGATCGCCTACCAGGACAACTTGGCGGCACCCGACCATTAGAGGAATTAGGCATTCCGGCTCTGTTGCCTGTGTAGACTCATCGATAAGAACGGAATGGAAATCCAACGGCAGGCGCGCGTCTCCAGCGGTCACACAAGTGCAACATACTACATCTGCCGCTTCGAGAATATCACCTGCATTGAAGCACAAACAACTTATTTCACTGGAAGTGTGGAAAGAAACCCATTTAACCCTCTGGCACTACACGGCGTGACTAGACAAGAGATTTTCTCAAGGTAATTTTTAAGAAGCCTCCTGAAATAATTTATTCACAATAACTGTAAACAAGAGCTATAATCATGCAGGAATGACCTTAACCACAAAAATTGTACTAATTACACAAAAGTGACTAGTTAAACATTATTTATGGAAATCAAAAAAAAGGTGAATTGTGAAAACGTACGCTCTAGTTGGCGTTTCAACATCCGATAACGGTTTTCATCTTCCTGGCTCAGTTCACCGGCCTCATCCTTAAGCTGCTGTAATTTTCTCAATTCAGTATGTCCCTTAACATTCTGAGCTTGGGTATGCAGCATTAACCGAGCAACTGGTGAAACCAAGGCTTCCCTGGATCGGGCGCAAACACGGACGACCTTCAAGCCTGTGCGGTCAATCTTTTCACATAACTGGTCAACGGCAGTATTGCTAGGAGCAACCACCAATACCTTTCGTTGATGAATCTGACTTAGGTGATACACGATCGTGGCTGAAGTGACGGTTTTTCCCGTGCCAGGAGGGCCTTGAATCAAACTTAGAGGACGTTGGAGAACGGTCTTAACTGCATAAACTTGGCTATGATTCAGCTCAGGAAGGCCAGGAGCAGAATATCGCTTTGGAAGATTGCACTTCAGAACCATATCCTCCATTTCGTGACCAAGTAGTCTTAATGAGATATATCTAGGCAGAGCATCATCTCCCACTCTATTAATCGCTTGTTTCATTCTTTCAAATGGCGTTGACTTCCACTTGAATTCAACGGTGTACGATGGCGCGTTGGCGAACGAATCTGGTATACGCTTCATTTCGAGCGCCACTTCATCACTAAAATCTAAGAAAACGGTAACTTGGATTATTTTCAGACAATGAAAGGCGAATAAGAAATTTTATGAAAGAAATTTACTATCGGGAATTTTTGTAACATGCCCAGTTGCGATGCTGTGTTCGTCAGAAGAATTCTGGTGTCGAAGAAGCAACTCATCACCATGCATAATTCGCAGTTCCGGACCTACCAGTAAATTTTATTAGTATACAAAAAAACCCACCTTCGTTAGCTCCAGGAATGCGAAAATACGCCATCATTTTCGTGTTTAATGCTACCTCCCAGCGAACACAAATATTTTCTAGTTTAAGGGACTCCTTGATTTTTCGATCATAATCTGCTTCGAGCTGAACAAGTGGGACGAAAGTCTGGCGGTAGTGAGCGGGAGAAGTATACCTGAGAACATGTTATAAGATTTTATATTACCTCAGAAGGATAGGATCCACTTCTTTCTCCGTACCTGGTCGCTCTAAGTCAACAACCTCAGCTTCTGGATTTTCTTTCCATAATTCCTCAAGACGATTGATTTGTTGGGCCGATATTTGACGCGCCTTGGCCTGATCTTCGTCACTTGGAACTTTCACAAGCCAAGATAAAAATTGCCGATCCTGAATTAGGGGCTGCCATTGACTGGGATCCCAATTCATGTCTTTATTTTGGTTAGCACATGGATGTCGACACAATAACACGACTACGGACTCAGCCTTAGCCGGCACAAAGCCTAAAAGGAACACATTTCTGGAGCCGCAAACGTAGCATTCCAAAATAGTGTCTTTCAGTGGGCTATCCTTGTGAAGTGATACCTCCTTGTATCGCGAACGGACGAGGTGATTCACAATATGGCTAAGGACATGTCACGAGAACAGATGATGTACCTTCCCGAGGTGTTACCTCGACCGTTACAGAACCATTTCTTTGAATTAGTGCACAACACGACCGAAGCGGGATCACTTATTCCACAATATGCACATGCGTGCTCAGGAAGTTCCTCAAGAAATGTTGACGTCTCGTCCTCCAACGATTGCAGATTCACACTGCCTACCTTACTAGCAAGCTCATCCATATGATTATCTATCTGCTCAGCCTTAAAATACATAATATTGGAAAGAGCACTACGGTTACTTTAGAGTTTTCCAAACTATGTTCAGCATCAAGCATTGGGGATTGAGTTTGTGACTGAGTAGGCAAGGAAAAATCACTAGCATCAAAATCCGGACCTTGTGTATCTCCACCAATCAGACCATCTTCATCAGGATCGAAAAATGTAAGAGCCTGAGAGCTCGGACAGTAACTGTCAAAACCATCCATTCAACAAACATCAAATGAAACACAAGCAATCGGGCCTCAGTAAAACAAATACAATTTTTCTAAATTCAGTGTACATATTTCAAAATTACGGTTTTATTTTACACTAATGTTACTAAAAACCAAAACATGTTTTATAAATGCCTGCAAATGCAACAAATTAAAAAGCTAAAAGAATTTTTGACAGCTGGGATTATATTCAAGGTAGAAATATTATCTAAACACTGCACCAGTGCTCTATTGAGCTTCTTAAAAAACTAATGCACATGCATATTTCCAAAAACTTATGATTGATCATTGATGTATTCAAAAAGTCATCAATAAATAAGACAAACTGGATATTTAAAATCAGTTGGCATTTTTACGGAGATTTCGACTACTGTCTGCATTTTAGGGTGTTCGAAGAGCACTGCTTAAAACTTTATAACATAAAGGCGAATGTCATAATGGCAGTAATTGTACATTTGCATCAGCTTAAAAAATGGCAACTTCCTGCTCCTTGTTCGGAAGTGCACATCGGTGACTGACTATTACTGACAACATCCCTTCTGGTTCCACCAAATGATATGCGAATGATGATTTGCGTCATTCATTAGTAGATTCGATTACAACGCACTTTGCAATTATAATCATCAAAAATACTGAAATCAAATTTGTGCAACTAAAATTAAATTACTGAAAACAATGGAATCGTTAGACTTAAATATTAAGTCGTGTCTAAACAAGTTGTCTGCCTTTCAACAAACCCAACAGACTTAAATTCAAATTACAGCAATTCACTTAATTTAACGATTAGAAATAAATTTTACAATGCTTTTTTTGGCTTTCTGTTTACATATGTATTGCCGCAATTTCACACAGGTTTATAAATGTAAATTTGCATTCATACAGACGCAAAGCGATTGCTACCTGTTCATTGGAATGTATTTAAGACCAATGCACTTTCATATAATGCGCCCACAAAATTTACTATACGCTTGAACGGCTTACGCAATCAACATTAATTTTGCTGACGTTCTAGAATCCAGTGAAACATGTATAATCTGAAAAATTGAAAGCAATATAAATGCAAAAAAAATGACAACAATACGAATTTAAATTTGGCCTGGCCTTATCTGACAAATCTTAAGGTAAGTTAAGCATTGGTCCTTCGAAGTGGTCAACCAGCCACCGCGCTGGAACGACGCGTGTACCATTGCCCGACTGCACCAATGACTCACCCATTCTGTTTGCCTTTCTTCCACTTTTTTTAATCCTTTGCGTTGTAGGATTTGTAAAATCTGTTTTTCACTGCAGTGTAAAACATGAAGTTGTCAAAAAAAGAATTTTACACCGAAGGACGAAAGAATTGACTTGAATGAGTGTTATGGGATCGATTGCCGCTTTTAGCCATAGCCATTATTATTAACGACATGTTTACTGTTTATAAGATTTGCCAGCGCAAAAATTCAATGAATACTAAAAAATGGAAAAACGATCTTTTTCTTTTATTGCTCATTTGTCTGAGCTGTGTAACGCGCCAAGTGTGCGTCGAACTTACTAGGTAGATATTTCTTAGCCCATTCGTCGTAGATATCCACAACATTAAGGTGAGCTGCGAGGCATACGATGGAGGAATAGTCGTAAGAACCGAATGATTTCCATACCTGCGCGTAGAAATTTAAAAGGCCATAGCTGAGGGAGAGAAAAAGCAGGGTAATGTGATGGATGTTAATAGGTTCGGCGTTGCAATTAGACTCACAAGGGTTCCTCA